ATTCAGTCTTAATACTTTGTGTTTAGTAGGAAAGTGCTCAATCACTTGATCTTTGCACAATATCTAAGTCCTAGAGACTCTTATGCTCATGGGATATAGCATAGAGGTCGTTTATATTGATGGACATTGAAATCACCTGCAATATTCGTTTGGGCTATGGCCTGGACTTGAGGATTTTTTGTCTATTACTCCTTTCCCCAGGTAATTTGTATGTGCAATCCAAGTTGAGAATTACTGTTCTTCTAATATCTTATGCCTAAATGAAGTTCAGAACCCCTATCAGTCATGATAGAATATGTTATGGAGCAGCAGCAAATCATAGAATCCCAGTATTAAACACAGAGATTTTATTTTCTGCTTATATAATGTCTACTAAAGAGCCAGGTAACTTTGGCGGATAGCTATTGTTGATTAGGGTTTGGCATTCCTTGATCACTAAAGCAAAGGAAGATGATGATGGGGAATCAAGCCCTCACTCTTCTAACATGGGAAATGACACACATAACCTCCATTCTATTTTGCTGATCACCACTAGTTGCACAACTGGAAATAGTGTGTGTGTGTGTGTGTGTGTGTGTGTGTGTGTGTACTGGGTCTTGAAGTCAGGGCATGGGCATTGTCCCTTAGCTTTTTCTCTCAAGGCTGGCTCTCTTCCATTTGAACCATAGCTCTACTTCCAGCTTTTTGGTGGTTAATGGGAGATAAAAGTCTCATGAACTTTCCTGCCCTGGCTGGCTTTGAACCATAATCCTCAGATCTCAGACTCCCCAGTAGCTAGGATTACAGGTGTGAGCCACCAACACACCACTACAAATAATTTCAAGGAAGAAAAAAAATTGTTGGTGACCATTAGTGGTGACCTAGAGTTTTTGCTGCAGGGGGATGGAGAAGGAAAAGAGCAGGCTTGCACATTTAGTTCCACACTCACACAGTGCTTGTTACATACCAGAGATGGTTTTTAACAGCTTTCAAACAGGAACTTACTCAATCCTTATAACAGCCCATTATATAGATACTGGGAAATTGAAGTTAAATGCCTCGTAAGTAGCAGAGGCAAGATTGAATGACAGGCTGTCTGGGTATAGAGTTGGAACATCGAGCTTCTAGTACACTGTGTTGCCTCTTTATTTTTCTTTGTGTACACTCAGATCCTGTGGGGCAGAGAAGAGGAAAGGATGGAGGTATTGTTACCGAAGGTGGTTGAGGAGGTGAAGAGCCCAGGTTCTTGGTGTCTCCAATAAAGAACCGAAAAAAGGCATACACACAAATGTAAAATGGCAAAGCAAGAAGGAGAGAAAGAGAGAGAGGAGGGGAGTCAGAAAGAGAACACCGTGAAAGGAAAGGCAGACTCCAGATAAATGGCTCAAAAGCAAGATTGAAATAGAGGAAAAGAAACTTTTCCTGCTCCTAAAGAAGGAAATGGGAGTTAAAGACTCAAAAGGGCAGCAGTTACTAGCTGTCTTTATTCTTTCTGTGCTACTGGAACACACCCACAGTTCAGCTAGCTTTCATACTGTCTTTGGCATCAGCAAACACTTCTATCTAGGGCTTGGAACTCTTGGTTGTCACCAGCAACACCTCTTTGATTTCCAAAACTCAAGACATAGAAGATAAGCACAAACGGCTTTGCCTTGAAATGGAATTTTTGGCCAGAAAATTACAAAAAGCAGTACTTTGTGTGACATTGAAAGCTTTCTAACTCCTGAGTTGTTATATGCCTTCATTTTGGTCACAACATACGGACTCAGCCTGCAAACCCCGTTTAAAATGCTGTATTGGCACCTTGCTGCAACCTGGGTCCAAGATGCTCAGGCCTGTGCTGCTGCTGCTGCTGCTGCTGTGTTTTCCTTTGCTGTTTTGATTGGAAGCTGTTGGGAGTTGTTGCCAGGGGTTTTGCTTCTCCCTTGTACTGCGGAAGCCAAGGATAGCTGCGGAGGTTGAGGATGCTGTTGATTGTTGCTCCACTAACCCAAGATCAGGTTATATTCTACGATTTGAAAGGATAAGAGAGCAGATCCTAGTTTGTATAGGATGTTCTACAGCGAAGTGTTGTCCCAGATAAAGCCTGTAATTCAATGATTTACCATACTTTTAAAACTACTGATTGGGGTTTTTTTTTTTTTACAGTGATTAAAAGAATCCAAAAGTTATAATGCTGTACAGTTAGTAAGGGCAGAGAAGAAAAGGATAAACGTCATCTTAATTAAAATCTGCAGATGGAAATAAATGGGGACATGCTACCAGTAATTGTGTGACAGTAGCTTAATGGAGTCCAAAAGAGTTTCCTCTTTGGGAAGTGTGAGCTAATACACCCACAGAGGGATGATTAGGGACAGAGATATTTATACTAGATGGGAAATGCTGGGAAACTGAGATGTTTAAATCAATACCCAGAGGCGAGATATGTGGGTAGTTGATGATGTGCAAAAGAACATATAGATTTGGAATATTCCTTTAATGGTGATGATGGAATTATCCTATCATGCTAGAAGCCCAGGATAGCAATCTGTGAAATATTTATATGTAAATATGAATATTTAAAAAAGAAGCCTGCCTATTCTCTACCCCAGCCAACCATTAGTCAGAGTTTTTATTTTTATTTTTTTTAAATGCTGCTACCAGGGCTTGATCTCAGGGCCTGTGGCATTGTCCCCTAATTTTTTTTTTATTTTCACTCAAGACTGATGCTCTACAACTTGAGCTACAGCTCCACTTCCCAGTTTTTTGGTGTTTAATTGGAGATAAGAATTTCACTGACTTTCCTGACTGAACCAAATGGCTTTGAACCATAATCCTCAGATTTCAGCATCCTGAGTAGCGAAGATTACAGGCATGACCCACCAGCAACTGGTTAGTCTAGGATCTTTTGAGCACAGCTAGGTCAAGGGAGGAGGTGGACTTCACTGTGTGTTTAAGGCAGGGATGATAGTGTGGGTTTCCAGTTCCCCTCCAGCTGACACCGCTCCCCCCTCCAGCAACTGCAGAGAGGACCCCATATCTCAGGAGAACAACCTCCCTGACTCCTGCTGGTGACAAGCTAACCACACAGATCCAATCTGTGCCCAAGTCCCTTGTTATTTAACTAAAGGCACCCGGATGTATTTAAGAGGCTTTCTAGCCGTACTGGGATGAGCTTGCCTTAATACCAGTGCTTTGGTAGAAAGCTAGAATAGCCTAGTGTTATTCAGCCGAGTCTCTTGATTTTCCCTTAGAAAGAATCTTTAGCAGAACAAACGGCTTTTGCTTCCTGTTAACCTTCTGGGTTTGGTCAACCGTCCAAGCTCTAGACAGATTGGTAGAGATTTCAGGAGACAAGGGTGGATCTTGGTTGGACACTTTAGTGCCATAGACAATTGCCTTTGGGGGGCAGGGAGAGGAGGAGAGAGACAGACGAGAGGGGAGAGGCTATAGAAGGAGAACGTGAATCTTCAGGCGAGTGATGGGTAAAAGGGGAGTGGGAACTGCGTACAAAATCACAGCATCACAGCTCCTGAGGCGCATGAGATGCTGGGAAGCTGCGCTCACCATTTCTCAAGCATTTACCTCACCCTGGAACAGTCTCATCCTGACCCTAACAAAAGGGGCACACTCTCCTAACCAACCTCTGGTCCAATGCCATTCGAGGCTGCTGTGTCCAGCCACCCATGGCTGACCCACCCATGGCTGACCCCGGCGCGGAGCCCTATCAGTCCGCCCCCTCCACTCCCCCCCCCCCCCCCACTTCTGCGTTCTTTCCCTTCTCCACGGGCCCAGGTGGAGCTCGCTAAGGGGAGGAAGGCTTGGACCTGCGTTCCCAGCAGGTTGTCCCGTTTGCTACAGCAGATGGTTAGACTCCATCCCTAGAGGTCTCCGTTCGCTAAGTAGGGGGCCGAAGCCCTGGAATCTGTGCGTGCACACAAGTTGTCCGGGGAGGCTGGGGACAAGTTGGAGAGAGCCGGGGTCTGGGCGTCTGCCTCAGCTCGCTCTCCACGTCGGTCTGCCACCTCTCTCTCCCCCACCCGCACCTGTGCGGGGCCTCTCAGGGCGCCGCAGCCGTCTCTGGTCCGGGTCTCTCATTCCGCCCCGGAGGCTCGCGCTGCCCCGACCTCGCAGCTTTCTCTGGTTTTCCACGCCGAGCTGCCCGCCTCCCCCCTCCCTCCCTCCGGATCTGCAGGATTGAGGCTGTTCCTTCCCTGCTGGCTTCCAGTGAACCTATTCTGCAACTTTGCTGTGTGTGTGTGTGTGGGGGGGGGAGGGATTGGGAAGGGGGGGATCCCTCGGGGAGGCTCCCCGGCAAGCCTGCTCCAGCCCCGAGGGCGCGGGGTCGTGGCGGGTGCCAGCGAGGCGCTCCGATCCTCCCCCCCACGCTTCCCCTCCTCCCCCCCGCGTCTGTCCGGGGGACCCGGGAGGGGGCGCGGGGCGGCGCGCGCGCGCGCGCGGGCGGGGAGCGGAGGCCCGGAGCGGGGCGGGAGCCGCGTCAGGTGTCTGCGCTCCGCGTCCCCGCGCGCCGCCCCGCCGGTGCCTCCACGGCGCGCGCAGCCTCGGCCGGAGCGCGAGCCGAGCGGCACCGCTGCCCCGGGACCCGCCAGCGCCCCCGAGATGTGATCCCCCCCCCCCCCCGCCTCGCCCTACCTCGGCCGCCCGCCTCTCAGACCCCACCGGGTCCCCCCCCACCCCCCCACCCCATCGGACAGAGCGAGGAGCCGCGGCCACCAGGCGCACGCACTTCCCCGAGAGAGAAGTTGGGGAGCGGCGGCGACCTGGCGGCGTGAGAGCGGCGGGTGGGCTCCGAGACCCGGCGCCGGGAAGGGGAGGGCGCCCGGCTCCACCTGGACTGGAAGGGACGGGACTCAGGGGAGGCGCACAGCGCTCGTTCGCGGCCCCGGCCCGGGGAGGACGGGGGGCGACGCGGGGGTCGGGGGGTGTGGGGAGATGCTGAGCCCGCTCCCGGGCGCCCGCGGCGGCGGCAGCAGCAGCATCTCCGCCACCCGCAGCAGCAGCCGCGGCGGCAGCAGCAGCAGCATCTCCACCACCGGCGTCTCCGGCGGCCCCAGCAGCGGCCCCGGCGGGACGGCCCCGGCGCCCGCGGGGGCGGCGCAGGCGCACTGTGCCCGGCGGAGCCTGCAGTTGCCGAGCCCCGTGTGCGGCACCGCCACTGTCTGGGCAGCGGCGGCCGGGGGAGCGCTACTACCATGAACTGCCTGGTCCTCCTCCCCAGAGCCGCTCATCCTCATCCGGGTCGGGCTGGAGACACCGTCAGGGGACCCCGCCGCCGCCGCCGCGCCCCCTCCTCTCTCGGCTGCCCCTCCAGCACCGTCTCCTCCTCCTCCTCTTCCTCCACCTCCTCTTCCTGCTTCCCCCCCTCCCCCGCCGCGGATCCTGGCCGCCGCTCTCCAGACCCAGGATGCCGGGGGGCAAGAGAGGGCTGGTGGCACCGCAGAACACGTTTTTGGAGAACATCGTCAGGCGCTCCAGTGGTAAGGAGAGTCGCGGCTCCGGCACCCCGCCCCGCGCCCGGCACCCCCGCCCCGCCCCCGGGCGCCCCCACCCCGCGCCTGGCCTCCTGGGGGCGAGGGGCGCACGCTGCCCCCCCCCCCCCCCGCCCGGGCGCAGCGGGACCCGGGGTGGGAGGGGGCGGGGGGCGGCGGTGGAAGAAAGTTAGTTGAATTTCCTTCCTGGGAGCCTCCCCCTCCCACCCACCTGTCCAGATCCCAGACCCGGAGCTGGGGGGGGGGGGGGAGGGAGACAGAGAGAGAGACAGAGACAGACAGAGAGAGACAGAGACAGACAGAGACAGACAGAGACAGACAGAGACAGAGAGACACAGAGAGAGAGAGAGAGAGAGACAAAGAGAGACAGAGACAGAGAGAGACAGAGACAGACAGAGAGACACAGAGAGACAGAGAGACACAGAGAGACAGACAGAGACAGAGACAGAGACAGAGACAGAGAGGGAGGGAGGGGGTACCTCCGGAGAGTAGATTGGAATTTGGCTTTGATCAGAAATCTTTTCTGGACTATCCTCTAACATTTATATATATATATAAAATATAAATTAGATATATAATTTTTTCGCTTTAGTAGGCTGCAGGCGCTGACTAAATTCTTAGAGCTAGTGGCAGAAGAGGGTTTCCTTTAAAATGAGACTGGTAGTCCAAGTGGCTACTTAATCAGATGTCAGTCTTTCTTTTTTGTTTTTGGTCTCAGTGTTAGGAATCCAGCAGTAGGAATGGAACCTAACTAGAAAATAGAACCGGTGCTTGGGAAACAAGAAGGCAATTGTAGGGGTCAGATTTGTGGGTGAAGTTTCTTCTTTTCATTTTTCCTCTTGTGCATTGGTTCCTTTAGCATCTGTTTCATGTGCCTTAAACAACAGACACTGTATAAGGAAGGGAGGAACTAGTGGGCTTTTTTTTTTTTTAAATGCAACTGGAAGACGCTTTCAGAAACTGCTGTTTTGCCCTGTTACAGAAACAAAGGTTCTAAAAGTGTCTTAAAGAATAACCATCCATTTATGCACACATCTACTGCAATGTATTTTGCGTGGGGGTGGCTATATATTTCACACATCAGGCTGTATAAACTTTTCGTTTTACTGATATCTCTATCTTCGTGTTGGAAATTCTTTAATGTAATTTTTAACTTCACGAACAAGTTTAAAGTTTTTTTTTTTTCCCCTTCAATGGTCTTTCATTTTATTCAGAGGCCCTTTGCCTGGAGAGTTATGAGAAAGACAATCCTGTATACCTAGGAGAGTGAACCTCAGAACAAAAGCAGTGGGAATACTCCCTGCCGTCCACTGAGCCCTTGTTTACTCAGTCATCCATGGAAACAATAGTTATTTTGGTGCCTTACACCACTCACTCTGTGTGGGCCCTTTGGATGAAATTTGATTCAGACATGTCCCCTGGTTTTAGGAAGGTCCTGCCTCATGGACAATACAGAGGCAGACTCGAGTGATAATAAATGATCCAACCAAAGGATGCTTCCTCGGAGTAGTAGATTGGGTGACACCGATTCTTAGATGAGTGTCTCCTCTAAAACTGGGCTTGCAAGTATGTCCTCCGGTTTTAGGACTGTATGCCTATGAATATCCCGGAATATGTCCTCTGAATTTCCAGTGTGGTATTTGGCTTTAATTTGAGGTCTGTGACTTACTTCTTTTACTTTGGTCAATGCCTGACATGATGCAAGTCTAGAGCAGTAGTATTATGGTTAGATTGAAAACAACAACAACAAAAAATCCCAAACAAACATAGCTAACAGGGCCCTGGCCTACTCGTAATATTTGTAATGCTTTTAGCCATCCTAGTGTGAATTCCTATGCATTTTCAATTTTATGATCATGTAACCTGTACATTTATAATGGTAGGCAGTTTCTAGACTCCGATATTACCTTGTATAAATATTAGATATAGCTCTAGAATTCAGAAGGGTATTACTATTCTAACCAGGAGTTGTTGAGATCTGAAGGTTATTGGACCCAGCTATCTAAGATATGGCTAGATGATCCCAGCTTTCTGACCCTTTTGGGTCATTTCCACTTTGTATAATTTGGTCTGTAAGAGGACTTTTCAGAGAAGGCCATAGAGAAAATTCACAAGCTCTCTTGTCTTTACTCAGGGAAGAGAAAGAGGAAGGAGACTCTCTGGATGGAAACTTACCAGTGTAGCATCTTTGGTTGAAACTTCTTACACAGATTGGAATGATGATCCATTCTTTAGCATAGGTTTTGTTTTAGGTATATTTAGCATAGGTTTTGTTTTAGGTATAGCGTGAAATTAACATCGGTGAGGCTCAGGACTGAGTACTTCTGTTTCCTCCATTTTACATCTGACATCTGACTTAATGAATGCTTAATCTTTTTTACATGTTGTGCTCCTAATTGCTTCATTGGTTTAATGTTACTTTCCATGGAGGACACCAAGTGTGAGTGCACATTTATCTGTGTTGACATTTAAAAATTCCACCTCTCGTTGCCTATGGCTAACTTTGAAATACCATCATTCAAAACCCCAAAGCTTTGAATGTATGTGCATGTCTATGTGTGGCCAATATTCAATAGTCTCAGTACTTCTCTCACAAGGACTTCAGAACTTAGAATTACAGCGTGTCATTGCTCTACACATCCATGTGGAAGTATCCCACAGTTGTCTTTTCTGTTTGACTTGGCAAAGAAATTGAATAATTCTTCCGCAGAGATTATATTCAATTGAAATTAACAAAGAAAATTCCCTTCAGGATTCTTATAGAGAGATCAGGATTGTCATATTGAGCAATTCATTAGTCACTGACTTAACAACATTAGATGTGTTGGCCCAGCTTTAACGGGAAAAGAAATTCAAGGAGCTAGCACTCCTAGTTTGATTCAAGAATTGAAGAAACAGGGGCTTTCAGTTGTTTATTGACCTCTTTCTGACCAAACATCATTTTTCTTTTGAAAAGTTTGAACATGTACAAGAGTCAAACAAATATACACATAGACAAGGCCCAGAGGATATGAAAACCTATAAGTACACCGACAGACATCTTAAACACAGAAAGATACAGAGGAAGCAAAAAAGAAAGAGATGTAGATGTAGGAAAAAAATTCCTCTGGAAATCAGAGTTTGGGGGGAGAGAAAGAGAAAGGAGGAATGAAGGGAGAAGAGGGAGGTAAGGGGAAGGGAGAGGGGAGAGTGGAGGGAAGGGGTGAAGAAGAGAGGAAAGAGGAAAGGAGAGGAGAAGAGAGGAGAAGAGGAGAGGAGGAGAGAGGAGGGAGCGAAGAGGAGAAGGGAGGGGAAAGGAGGGGAGAGGAGGGAGAGAAGAGGAGAGGGGAGGGAGGAGAGGAGAAGAAGGGAGGGGAGAGGAGGAGGTATGAAAAGGTTAGGGAGAGAAAACCTCAAGCATTTATTTGTGTCTATAGGTAGCTAACCTGAAATCTCTGCCAGTTATAAATCCATCAGAGAAGTTTTCAATGATGCAGAATGAAGGATCAAGGAGTTTGGCAAATTTGAATACAGCATCTAAACCAAAGGATTTCTTCATAAAACTTCAAACTCCTTAGCTGCAATTTCTCTCAATATCAATGCTGTATTCTGTGCCCTACAAGTGACAACTATAGCCAATTTGCTGGTTGGTTTACATCACTTAAGACTGGATATTTACTTTCCTATTTGGCATTGTAAGTTGTTCCTGGTGTTTCAGTTTATGAAGTAAAATAATGAGGCCATGGAGTAGATTGGACAACACACACACACACACACACACACACAGACACACACACACACACACACACACAGACACACACACAGACAGACAGACACACACACACACATATGCATGGTAGCCAAATCTCAGACTAGGAGAAACAGGGATTATTTTTTTACTTTTAAGATGAAAGACTTGTTTCAATCATTTTCAGACCAATTAGGAATAAAACAAATCTTAGTGTATGATTTTTAGTAAATAGAGAAGACATATTAAGAATTGTAAAGGCAATAGGGATGTTTTGACACATTTAAAAATATATGTATTTTTATTTTTGATTGACACATAGGATGTGCATGTGCACGAGGCTCAGTGACATTTTAATACACACATGCCATGTAAAATGATCATATCAGAGTAAATAGCATGTCTATCACATTGAATAGTTATCACTTCATTTTATTTTATTTTATTTTTTGTGCTGGTTCTGGGGCCTGAACTCATTAGGGCCTGGATTTTGTCCCTTAGCTATTTTGTTCAAGGCTAGTGCTCTACCACTTGAGCCACAACTCCTCTTCTAATTTTTCAGTGGTAATTGGAGGCACCTGGCCATTTATCACTTCTTTTTATTTTTGTCGGTCATGGGGCTTGAACTCTGGGCCTGGGCACTTTCCCTGTGCTCTTTAGGTTCAACGCGAGTGTTCTACAGCTTGAGCCACAGTACCATTTCTGGTTTTCTAGTGGTTTATTGGAGATAAGAGTCTCACAGAGTTTCCTGCGCAGGCTGGCTTTGAACTGTGATTCTCAGATCTCAGCCTCCTGAGTAGCTAGGATTACAGGCATGAGCCACCGGCACCGGCAATCACTTGTTTCTATTGGAAGTATTCAAGGTCCTCTCTAGTATTTTGAAGTATTAGGTTACTTGTTGTCAATGACGGAGGGAAAATCTGTAGCAAGTTGGATTAAAATAAGTTAGGAAGGGAAGATGGGTTTATTATATCTGAGCAGGACCCCTCACCCAAATGCTTATTGACTAAGTCGTTGTTTAGATGTTATCAGGCTAGTCTTCCTTAGTGAAATTTTAATTGTTTTTAAATTGACATGTATACTATGAGGTGGTTTCATTGTGATATTTCTACACACACATGCAGTGCACTGTGAACAAATTCACCCCCTAGACCACAGTCCCATTCTTCTACACTCTTAAGAGGTAGGCAGAAGGGATGACAGTAATCCAGGTTGTCGTTTTGAGAAAGTATGGCTACACATCGATAGTTGTATTTGGCAT